TTCCCAGATACCAGCCAGCTGGTCCACGACTCCAGCCAGCTCGGCAATTCTACCCTTCACCGATTATTTTTTTTTGTTTTTTGAGAAAGGGTCTCACTATGTAGTTCAGGCTGGCCTGAAACTCTTGGCGATCCTCCTGCCTCAGCCTCCTAAGCGCTGTCATTACAGGGGTGCACCATCCCTGGCTCTCCACTCATTATAGTGTATTTTGTTTTGTTTTGCCATACTGGGGATTGAACCCAGGACCTTTTTGCTGAGCTATAAACCTAGCCCTCCTTTATTTTTTATTTTGGGACAGGGTCTTGCTAAGTTCTCAGGCAGGTGAACTTGTGATCCTTCTGCCTCAGCTTACCAAAGTGCTGAGATGACAAGTACGTATCATAATACGCCCAGTTTTATTTTGATTTTTTTGAAGTGACATCCTGTTACGTTGCCCATACTGGCCTCAAACTCTTGGGCTCAAGCAACTCCTGTCTCAGTCTCCCTAGCAGCTGGGACCCCAGATACTCACCATCACCTCTGGCTACAAATAAAGTTTTACTGAGACAGACATTTACTCATCAACTATGGCAGCTTCTGTGCTACACTGGCAGAGATGAGTCTCAACAGAAATGGGACCGCAGGCAAAGCTCATTGCCTGGCCACTTATAGAAAGCTGGCTTGGCTGCCCCGCCCCATCCCACCCCCAACAGCACCTGGCTGCCTGTGGCTGGGAGCTGTCCCGGGGGAGGAAGGCTGTGGGTGCCTGCAGGTCAAAGGACCACCCCATTCCTGGACAACAGATCTCTGCTCACTTCGGCCACCCAGGGAAAACAAGTACCAGCCCAACCGAGGCAGCACACAGGGACAAAGCACCCATCCAAAGTCACCCTAAGCCACTATTTTGACTGTCCTCTCAGAGCAACGTCAACACAGCCCTAGCCAATTTAGCCATGTTCCTGAAGTAAATCACCGAACCTTAGTTTTCAACTGGGTGATGTCTGGGGATACGTGTGGCTGTCACACTGGGAGATCTCATGGCGGAGGCTGGGGACCCCACTCAGCCCACACCTGCGGTGTTCAGGACGCCCCCACAGAGAATGCCCCGGCCCCAGTGCGCACAGTGCATTTAGACTGTGAGCCAAATAAATGGTTTACTGCACTATTACTGCGAGCCAGGCTCGTGCCAGCCCTTCACCCCATCTCGTCATTGGCTTCTCCCTGCGTGGCCACATGGGGACCCAGCGGCAGCCACGTTGGCAACGGGAGCCACGGGAGCCAGCACGGCTGGCCAGAGGCACTCAGGGATGGGGAGGGTTCCATAAAAAGCACACTGTACCTGGGTAATGACTACTATTGTCATTTTATGCAACAGGCACACAGATGCCTTCCTCTGCTGCAGCAGGCAACCAAATTCTGGGCATGTGCACACCCGCTGACCACATTTCCACCAATTGAGCACCCTAATGGCCACCCCACTACCCAAAGGGATCGCCACTTCCCAAAGACAGCCCCTCCCTGCAGACTTCGGGCTGCCAGGCCACAAAAAAAGAGAAGGGCCCCTGGGGTGCAGGCTTGCCTAGTACACACCAGGCCCTGGGTTGCACCCCCACACCCCAGAGCAAAACAGCTGCTCCAGAACACTCGTGAGAAGAGCCCAGTCGCGCCCCACGGGCTGGCTACTTTCTCCGCAGATCGGCCCAGCGCCGGTGCAGCCTCCACTCGGCTCCTTGCCCTCATCCCGACCCTCCTGTCGACCCTCCTGTCACCGTTCACGCCTCCCGTGGTCTGGCCACTTCCCCAGCAGGGTACCTGGGGAAGTGGCGCCACTGGTCTGAGGCTTGATTCCCTCACCCGGAAGACGGAAGCAACTGCACATTCCCTACAAAGCCACCGCGGGGAAGGGGGTAGGAGGCGGGGACTAAGAGCAGGAGAAGAGAATGTTTCCTAACTACTAATGGGGTGTGAATCCTAGCTCACCCGGGCTAGGGTGGGCTCCCCAGAGTCAGACCCAGACCTGTGCTTTGCTGCCACACAGCTGTTCCTCTTGTTATCGCGCATTAGTGGCCACAGATGTGGGAGACACTTTATTCCATTACAAATAGAGAAGAATCAAAGAGTTTTGGGTGACATGGACAATTATCTACCTCAGTTCCTCAGTCTGCGAGCATGTATATATCTCACTATATACACAGATATACACACACTGGTCATCCCAGCACTCTGGGAGGCTGAGACAGGAGGATCACAAGTTTGAGGCCAGGCTGGGTGACCTACCAAGCTTTGTCTAAAAATAAAAACTAAAAATGGGCAGAGTTGCTGGGCGTGGTGGTGGACACTTGTAATCCTAGCATTCAGGAGCTGGGAGGCTCAGGGAGAAAGGTCGCCCGCCGTGAGTTCAAGGCCAGCCTGGACTACACAGTGAGACCCTGTCTCAAAAAAAAAAAAAA